CTTTTTGCTGATAGATTGTATAAATTATTGTTCAATCTTGTATTCCATTTTGGTTTTAAAATAAGTCTGATTTACTACACTGAAGCAATAAAACAAATTGCGTTACAAAAATCTTGCAAGTTTCTTGGCTTTATGACCATTTACTTAAACCATCCTTGTACGGATCTCCTGATTTTTATATTATTTATTTGACTGATTTAATATGAGTATTTTTTACATTGTCTCAGAGTTTCTTATTTTCTGTTTTGTTTTTTTACGCCTGATACCCTTCCTTTTCACAGGCAAATCAAACGCATGCGTTTACCTTATTTCACGGCTACTTTATTCTCTACAAGCGCCGATAAAACGTCTGTAGAAAACTGTAAAAAAAAGGACGTGAAATGTATGACGCGGGAGATGCCTGAAGCCAGTGAAGACCCAAAAAAGGTGACCGCTCAACTAGAAGAACTGAAGAAGCTCAACGTCGAACTCAACGGGAAGCTAGCAGATCTTGAAGTACGTTTAGATAAATTTAAAGCCGAAAAATTTTTACATCACTCAGTTAGGAAGTCACATTTTCCGTAATAGATTACTGACTCTATGACCAAAGTTTTGACTTCTATCGAACGTTGCAAAGTATTAATTGTACATTTGATGTTTTCGTGCTGTAATATGAAGGGGGGCTGTTATTATTAGCCATAATCTGGACTTGTCCCTATCAATTACAGAAACGGTCGTTTCTCTGACACTATGTCCTTCAGCAATTTCATGACATGCAGTACCCAGGTTTTGACCATGACTGAACGGATATCCTTTCACTCTGATATTAAGTAGTTATCTATAGGTCTTAACTATGTAAATTCCGTTGCCGTCACTACACTTTATTTTACGGACTACATTAAGACTTCCTTGGTTTGTATGGAAGCAATTTCTTAGTAAGAAGCATCGATAATGTCATCCCAGTTTTGTACTGTGGCCTAAATTCCATTTTCATTAGATATTTTTTACATGTTCTAAAACCTGGGGGGACGGGGGTTGAACTGAATGGCAAATATATCAGTGGAAGTCTAAACACTGAAGAAAATCTGGCAATTTGTTACGTTTTTACTGTTACTAACTCGGCTATAGCAATTTTAGTAATGGTTTTGTTCACAGTTTAGTTTGTTTTATTCTCAGTCCCGTTAATTTGCTTTTCTTTTATTCGTAGTGAAAAGCAGGATTATTGATCTCATTCAGGCTCTTAATTTTTAACTTTAACTTTATGAATTGTTAGTGGTCAATGTTTCTCAAAAACCAAGTTTGTTCAGTAGAAATCAGTTTCGGCTTCCAGTCGAGTAGCTTCTCTGTTCTACTCTCAGGGTAATGAATGATTTCCACTAGCTTAGAACAGTGCAGAAAAATTCATGCAATTCTGATGACCTCTTTATTTGATAATGCTTCCAAAGTAAGGCACATGAAATAATACCATCTAAGCGATGATCATTATCTAATATACCATCAGGTTCGTGAATGAAGGAAGGATGATACCAGTGATAATTATGATAGATATGTGAAGGAAAATGACCATACTGTCCTCTTGCTGTATAAAGTTATAATATTTATTTATACATTTGTATAGGACAAGTACTTGCGGTCTCTTGCGGAGACAGAAAATCTGCGGCGGCGAATGCTCAGACAAGTCGAAGAAGCGAAAGCTTTTGGAATTCAGAACTTCTGCAAAGACATGCTAGAGGTAGATATACGCAATTTGGCTTTTTTGAATTTTTTTAAATATATTTCGATTTTTTACTATCTTTGAAGTTTTGGTGGGAGCTTTTTTGGTTTTTTAAATGGAAACATTGTCTATCTTCTTTGCTGTGATTCGCTATCGTACCTCTCAATGGCTACCTTGTTCTGCGGACAACATGTTTCCCCCGCCATTGTTGCAGTGGCACACTTGACTTGAGTATCGCCGTCTGGGTTCTTGTTCCTGTTTTC